AAAAAAATTTGAAACTCATATATGATTGTTTTTTCAAAAAAAGTAAAACCTAGATCTAGACTTAACCATGTATGTGYCGAGAAACACATAGGAATTAGCAATTTCTAAGATGCATAGATGACGATCATGGTGTTTGGATACATTTATTTCCTTTTAATAAATCCTAGCCATTTTTGATCAATGCCACCCATGATGGCTGTTACTTGTTAGTTTTATTATTATTTTTTTTAAATCAAAGGAATTGCATTAATTAAGAAATGCCTCATATAGGCTAGAGCAGTAAACGGGCCCAATCAAATGTTGGCACAGAAAGAACACCCAGCATTCAATAGCATGCTATGATCTGAAGAAACAGCTTACTTGGCCAAAATATGCGTCACTTTATTTAAAGATCTTTTGACACGGGCAAATTTGACTTCCATGAAGGAGAGAATAAGCCCTCAAATCTCTGCGATCAAAACTCCCACTTCATCAAGTCTCTCAAAATTCGATGAAAGAAGCTTCCCCGCTTCCAGACAATCGGACAACAGAAGAATGTTGTTGAAACCCGACCGATGTGCGAGGTGCAGAGCTTCAATAATGGCGAATAACTCAGCATGCAGCAGAGGCAAACCGACATCCACAAAGCGGGATAGGAAAAACCTGACATTGAGGTCCTTATCTTGAGCGAAAGCCCCAAAACCAGTACGAGGAAGGCTCGGGTGACAAGCAGAATCCGTATACGCCAAAACTGGGCAGAAATATCATGGGATGGTTGTTAGTTTAATAGAATTGATTAAACTAGGTTTAATTATGAAGTAAATGTATTTAAATTTAAGTTAATTAAATAAAAATAAATTATGGTTAGTTTTAGTAATTAAAATAAATTAGGTTTAGTTTAATAAAGTAAAATAATTTACACTTAACTAGTTTAATAAAATAGGTTTAGTAATTGAGATTAATTTGAACCTTTTTAAAACTTAGAGATCTACTCGATATAAATTGAAAAAACACAAGTAAGTCACGACTAATTAGTAAAAACGAAAAACTTGTAACTTTTTTTTAGTGCGAAGGAAAAAGAAAAAAAGGGGAAAAGTAAACTTGTAACTCAACCTAAAGYAAACTAAAGTTATTATGAAATTATGGCTAATTTAATAAAGTAAATTAATGTCCTTTTTATTGATTATTAATTAATGTAAATTAGATTTTTTAATAAATAAAATTAAATCAAACTTTTAATGAATTTTTGTTGCTTTTTGAATATTTAGTAATTTTTATTTATTTGATATATAATTGAGGCATGCAACAAAAYTCTATTATTTACTATGCTTCGCATAAAACTCAATTATTTGTTATGCTTCACACAAAACTTAATTCTTACYCAAACCACACCACGTGTAATCATTTTATTTTGTCCGAATTTAGTAATTTTAATAGGCAAAATTTCTGCATGTAAACATTGGGAACGACAKAAACAATGCTCAAACGTAGCGTTCAAGCGACAAAAATGAAAGATACAGTACTCAAGCAAAAGGAGTACTCAAACAATGAAGTAGTGTTGGAGTGATAAAAACGACAAGAGCAGCGACATAGTTCAACACAAATAAAATATAGGAAAATAAGAAAAAATGTGGCCATATGAAATAGAGATTAAAAAAAATTTCGCTAAATAAAATCTTTTGCAAAATCACTCTCTCTCTCTCTCCATTTAAAAGATAGGTGACTATCACCCAGCTTTTTTCTTTCTCCGAAGAAACCAAAAACCGTAGCCTCTTTTCTTTTTCATTCTCTTTAAAAAAATAAACCACAGTSAATTTTAACAAAAATAAAATGAGTTTATAACATGAAATACTATATTCATTACAGTTTTATCTTGTCTTTCTTTATAAATGTAATTCTGTATTTTAAAATTTAAAATTTAAAATCTAGAAATAAACTGTTGTTTTTAGAATTTTCACATATCACATCATCTAAAAACAATTTACAGAAATAAATCTAGACATATATTTCTAATTCATTTGATTCAATAGAATCTGAATCTGAAAATGTGTTCAAAYTCATGATGGCCACCTATCTAAAAATTAATTTCTCAAATTACTATCRGATAAAGTTGGGTCTAGACACTAACAGAGARAAAAAAGAAAAACAGAAAACTAAACAAGTAAAACTATTATCAAATGAGGCCTCARCTATTATTAGTATATTGTTACATAATTGGAATTAAAATTCCAACATACATGGGCAACGATTGTAAGAGCTAGCAAGAGACATGGTTACCTCTTGCTTTGCTTTTTGTATCTCCTTAGGTTTCTTTCTCTCATCTTTGTATTTTCCTTCCAATTTTCCATCAAACCAAACGAGAGAAAATTGTGGAGCCAACTACATATGTAAATATCAATACTTCTCATTGTATATATATGGAATGATCAGTATCCATCCATGTGTGTTTTATTTAATTACAAGGAAGAACAACTTCCCGGGCGCGAAGCGGCGACATTTTGCCTCGAGTGGGAGCCCCATTCGATGGCTTCTGCTACCGCTCGCTGGCGTGCCTCTGCTATTTCTTCTTTTTCATCGTCGTTGGATTTGGATAGACTAATCAGATTGTGATTGGACAGTGGTGAAGTAATGTCACTCGAGGAGGTCGACGAGTTGACAGCCTCTGCGCCCAAGAAGCTGAGGGCAGTGACGACGTCGCTCATCAATGGCCGGGCCGATGCTTCCTCGTGGAGGCACATGGCGGCGACGGCGACGGCTTGGTTCAGTGCTCTCACAGGGAACTCTCCTCCTAGAAGAGGATCTGCCAACTCCATGAATCTACTTGGTTCCTTGAAAATTGGGTATGCCTGCATGTAATATTATTACAACAAGAAAGTTGATGGAGTTGGTTTTATGAATTTAGRTTGGTTTTGTTGGGTTGGTTTTGGTTATTTAAGTTGCTTATTTTGAAGAATATAACACAAAAGCTACAAAGTAATTCTGAATATTTGATTGATTGTAAAATCTTGTAAAAAGAKAAAACAAAKTTCAGAAGAGGCGTATCAAACCAATTTTACACTAAACAAGTCATTTTTACAATAAATAAGTTCTCTTCCTTGTAAAAATCACAAATTCAAGATCTTAAAGATAAGAATAATTTAATTTAATCTAACAAGAAAAAAAAAAGCTATCCATGAAAAAACATGCTAAACAAAACCATTTTTTTCTTTGAGGAAGAAAAAAAGAAAAAGAAAACTATTTTAAAACCACTAATTTTGTTTGGGCAACTCCCCAAAAAATGTTATTGAACATTTCATGAATGTTAAAGAACTTTCAATTAAATTCTTCCACTTTGGATTATATTTCTATTTAGTACCTACTACCCCATCATTGCTGAAACACTCGTCCGACGCACCTATTAGTCTTTTTAACTAATAAAAACATCATGCCTTACTATGTTAAAATTTATCTTTACGTCTGATTAGTGAGAACAGATCTATATGCTGACCGTCATTAAAAAATATTCTTTAAAAAAATTATCTGTTTTTGCATTTTTCTTTTAATTGTCTAGACATTTTCAACGGTGATCAGCACAAAATGGGTCTTCACCTGTGAGGACCTAACTAGAAGTATAATCCAAAATTTATGTTGAAAACATAATTGAAAGTTAAAAAACTTATAAATATATTTTTCATCACGTACCCAAGCCACCAAGTTCTGCTGTTTAGGTGGGCGAGTGTTGTCAATGACTCTCTTGCCAGTGATGAGTTCCAACAACACAACGCCAAAGCTGTAGACATCAGACTTGAGAGTAAGCTGGCCAGTCCTCTGGTACTCAGGAGCACAGTATCCATAGGTTCCCATAACTCTGGAGGAAACATGCTGCTTGTCCCCGACAGGCCCGAGCTTCGCCAGCCCGAAATCTGACAGCTTTGCGTTGAATTCGCTGTCCAAAAGAATGTTTGATGCCTTCAAATCTCTGTATATCACTGGTGGGTTGGCCTTGTCGTGTAGATATTCCAGCCCTTTTGCTGCTCCCAACCCTACTTTCATCCTCGTCCCCCAATCCAATGCCCTTTTCTCCGCTGGAAGGTCTGTTTTTCAGTCATAACTTTTACAAGTTACTGGATCATATACTTAACATTTATTTGATAATTATATCGATTAYGACTAAAGTCTCACATTGATTAGATAAGGGAAAGATTATATGTATATAAATGAAAGATAACATTTCCGTTAGGGAACAATATTATACCATTTTTGAGATACTTTGAASGTACCGCATTCCTTAACATCGTATTAGTACATGACATGCATATTGAATTATAAGAGATCATGAATTGGCACTATTTTTGTGCAAAGGAAARCTTCAGCTTTTCCTCTCTTTAACTTAGCCCAATTCCTTTTTAGAAGTTCTACCAATTCTCTAGGTATATCATGCTGTTTAAGCTTATCATCAACCAGTTTTAATGCATTCGTAATTGAAAATTGTTGAAATAGAAAGACTAAATCGAAGAAAGACATACATTTAGCCTTAATAGTGTAAGCTTTCAAAYTTATTAGTGATTTAACGGGGTGTACTTTGAATTCTAAGGTAGTATATCTCTTCTATATTTTGATAATTGGAAAGTTCATGTATTGAGTTTTGTGATTCAAACTTTTTTTTATTTTAATAACTGGGAGTTAGAGTTTTGCTCCATCGATGACCAGAAGCATCCGCACCTGCTCCAAGATTCGGGAGACATCATAGACTTTTGGTATTAAGCTCATCGGAAAATTCGAACTTAAGACCTTTAAGTTAGTATGACCAAGAGACCACAAGCTCTTGACAACCGGACTGAATTCAAACTAATATTWTTTAAGAAAGAAGTGTTAGAAGAATTGAACCTATAGCATATACCTTATATCAATGTTTTCTCTGTCTAAGAACACATTTGAAATGTTAGCTAAATTTTTGAAATGGGTTTTGAGGATAATGATTACCAAGTAGATGATCTTCTAAAGATCCCAAAGGCATATACTCATAGACCAAGAGTCTTTGATCACCATCTGCACAATAGCCAATGAGATTGACAAGGTTTTGATGGTGCAACAGACTTAGCATCAAAACCTCCACAAGAAACTCTCTGTTCCCTTGCAATCCATTTCTATCAAGCTGCTTCACTGCTACAACCTGTCAGATTAATTAGCTAGGTTGTTATATAACAAACTGTGTTTGGATACTAAGAAAATAGAAATTACATTTAAATACTATTTTGATCTCGGTACCTCTAGTTTTTGTCCATAATATTTTTGAAATATTTATTTTGATTGGTTTATTTTTAAAATGTAAAGATTTTGGTCTTAACACGATACATAAATACAAAGTTATGACAATATTTCAAGAAATTTATTCAAGTGTTAAAATTTTAATCGCAAAGTAAAATTAAAAATAAAAAAAAAGAGAAGAAAACAAAAAGACTACAACAACACCTTTTAAAATTTCAAGGACCAAAATGATAAAACAGGACTAAAATAGGATTTGAAACAAATTAGTACTTATATTCCCGTGTAATTTGTGGTTTCTCTTTTCTATTTCTAGAAATAGCCATTTTCATATATAATATATATTCTTTTAGAATAGCCATTTTCATATTTTGAAGTGATGTACTCAATTTTTAGTTTCTGGTAATTTGGTAAAGATTTTTACGATGTTTTGATATATATAGCTGTTTCGGTCCCTATTTTTAAACTTTTAACACAAATTCTACACATGAAACTATTTAATTTAAAGTCACGATTACCATTTAATAAATATAGTGGGTRTAACGTTCCGTTGAAATTGTGATAGAAAAAATGAGAWTAAAAATAAAGAGACCATTAAAAGTATAAACATCAAAACGAATATTTTGAAAATATAGGAACTAAAAAGAATAAAAGTTAAAATTGTAAGGACTAAARTGAAAAAAACTTTTAACCTGAAATTTGAACTAGTTTTAAACAATTCTGTTTTTCAAAAACATTAAAAGAAAAACTATTTTTAAGATCACTTGGCTCACCAAGATTAAAAAGATATTGAGCCCTTGAAATCAAAAGTTTACATTATACAAAAGGGATATTATGTTAAATTGTCACCAAACAAACCTAAAATCTAAAATTAATTGAAGTTTTGTCGTATAAAAGACAYAAAAGTGCTTCAAACATGGTTATCAAACGAGGCCTAAGAAAGCGAGACGGWACCTGAGCGGTTTTGTCAAGTTTGCCCTTGTAAACTCTCCCAAACCCTCCCTCACCAATGAGACACTCTTGACGGAAATTCTTTGTAGCAGTGGCCAGCTCTCTGAATGTGAATGTCTGCGCTGCAATGTTATTTTTTTCTCSAATCTCTCTCTCTCTYCCCTCTTTCTCTTTCTCTCTCTCTCTCTCTGCATCATTCTGCTGCTGGTTCCCTTTTTGATTTTCTGTCAATTAATTAGTTTTAACCAAATCAATTAAAAATAACACGCCCATAAAATTTATCAATGGAGCCAGCAATAATTTAACAAGCAAACTAAAAGCTAAACTTTTTATATATTATAATATTTCAATTTTGAATATTTGAAGGCAAATTAGAGCGAAAACTTTAAAATATCCCCTTGGCTGGACATGTCTATATAATATAAAGTTATTTTCCACCGTCCTACTAAAATTTTGATTCGAGGTTAGACCACCACAAAACTCAAAARGCCTAAATGAAAGGATTAGAGTATATGAGATGGGATAAATTAGAGCGAAAGCTTTAAAATCKCCGCCCTCTCAATGGAAGAAGTTCTCTTCTCCATCCCTATTTAAAAATGTATACAAACTTATTATTTTATATCATCCTACTATAATTTTATATTTATATCTCYTCAAAATATGTGAGTACCTCCAATTTTGATTCCAAKTTTACAAAACTCAAAAACCTAAATAACTAGGTTAGAGTATATACCTAATACTTTTCAGAATATGGAAAAATTAGAGAGAAAGTTTTAAAATCTCGACTTTTTATATAATCTACGACGAACCAAGAGGGGCAACCTTCTTCGCTCTACCCTTGGGTGAAAGTTATCCTTCAAATATAAGAAGGACCTCCTGTTTCGATTCCAGGTATTAAACTACCACTCAACTCAAGAAGTCCGAGCGAATACATAAAAAGTGATTTATATTAAATCAAGGTTGGGAATGTCTTCCCATCCGCGTCGTATTCTCAAATATAGAGAGGAAAAAAAGAGAGAGAAAAGTGAAGGAATTAGTGACCTGTAGGCGTAGGGCGAGGGGGAGGAGCAGCAGGTTGTTGTTGTTGGTGTTGTTTGAGACTCCGAGAATGCAACGAAACAGACYGTTCCTTTCTACCGCTCTTTGTTCTTTTCGCTGCTTTCCCATGAGATGAAAAACATGGAAAGCAACTCATTCTTTTTTTTTTCTCTTCTTCTTTCACAATTTTGTATTTTCCTATCAAAATATAATATAATACAAAAACAAAGAAAATCCCAGATGGGTTTTTTTTTTATGAAGAAAGTGCCTTAGAAAACGCCTCCTTTGGGCTCCAAAAGAATCATATATATATTCAGAAAAAGAAAAAAGAATGCAGGCTTTGAGAGAGAGAGAGAGAATTTTGAAGGGAAMTTTGTAAGTATGAAGAGAGGAGAGAGAGAGGGAGGAGGGACCCTCCCAAAGGGAAAATTGAAGAAAGCAGAAACAAGTTTTGGATAAGGAAGGGGCGAAGAGGAAGGGATTGAGGGAAGAACCAGAAAAGGGGGATTATTGTTTTTGAATTGCTTTTAGTTTTTAGTTTTTTTTTTGGTGTTTCCGCGTAGAATGGGAAAATCAACACTTAAAAAAAGGCATACCAACAACTCATGCACAGATATGACAGAGAGAGACAGAGACGTGTGAGCCATATTAGGTCATGTTTTTTGAGGGATGCCATGTTTAAGAATCTCCCATTTGGATGTGCGGGTTCTGTCTGCGGTTGGATAATCTCTTCATTTCTTGTTTTTCGTTTTTTTATTTTTGAGAAAATTATAGATTTGATAACTGTTCATGTTTTTTATGTCTTTAGATAAATGTTTTCAAAATTGGATAGAGGTTTGGAAATTTTCTATTTGAATGGGTAAAAGTCATTTTTTAATATGCATAATAAATATCAAAAAATAAATATATAATATTACAAAATTTTAATATTTTAATAAATAAAGAAAAAAARRAAMMAWWAAWWRKTWMCCAATGTAATTTTTTATTTTTAATTTATTGTAAAAGAAAAAACAAATAAAATAAGAAGTAAGGACATTATCAAATGAGTCATAAAAGATGTTGCTACTCATGTTTTAGTAGTTTCAATCTTGATTGGACTTAAAAATCGATTTAGAAAATATTTTACGCTCTGTTTATACCATCAAACTTTGTATTCCCAACCTTATTTATTTAGTTGGGTTTACTCTTYTGGTGCAAATTATATGTGGCATCATGTCAAATAATCGTGTGTGATATAGTTCAATCAATGCGTCACATTAATACTTTTAAACAAAATGAGTGTGACATTAACTAACATTCAAGTGATTGTGTTAATACCGACCTAAACATARCTCAATTGTTATTCAAATGAACAAAGATGTGTACCGATGTTAAGTTTATGTTAAAAAAAAACTTATATTAAATGATAACAATTAAAATAGTTTTTTATACAAAACTTAAGAAGATTAAAAATATCTGAAAGCTTAGTTCAAAATTAATAAGGACAAAAGTTCAAAGAAYTAATATATAATTTATTCCTATAATTTATATATTCAATTAGTTTATTTTACATTAATTTATAAGTTTAGTCTATACTTGGTCACTCTAATTTTAATATTTTCGTCTTCACCTTTCATTTAATTTCTTTTAGTCTTAATATTTTTTTAACAATATTTTATATAACACTAATTATCGAATTTTTTAGTTCAACGTGCGAGTGGAGATCTAAACTTTGGACCTATTGATCAAGTATATAAGTCATAATTAGTTGAGTTATTTTTAAGTTAACTACTGATTATTAAGTTAGATAGTAACTAAAAGTTAATCTATTGACACACGATATCACTTTGATATATTAAGACTAGAAACACTATATTTGATAAGTTGAACATACGACATGAATTATCGAAGCTTCTATAAAACACTAAACATTAAAATGAAAACAAATTTATAATTCGAAATTGACAAAATACTATAAACCGTAAGTGATGTGTTTTTTATTGCTACATAGTCCTTATGGTCGAGGTAGGCCTTTGATTTATTTATAGAACATGCGGTTCCACTTTGTGTGGAGGTCAACTTTTGGCATTCTAATTGTGAGTTTATTTCATTGGTCAAATGATTTAATAGAGATGCCCAAGGCGGACTCAAAATGATTGTGTTTGGGAATATTGAAGAGTTGTTGCATGACCCCACCAGATGTACATATCCAACTATAGTTAACGTGGTTGGAGGGGAGATTCGAACCCATGAYTTTTTGGTCCGAATRTTTGTCTTAATAAATTGAAGTATGTTTATACACTAAAATGAAAAAGAAAAAAAAAACAATTGGACTATGTTCGAGTTGGCATGAAGAATTGGTATATGAATAATTGAGTGAATTTATTAATTTATATATGCACTTAATAAAACTTAGAGTTATATTACATTTTATGCAATGCTCTCCATAATATAGTTTGAGATTTTGATTTTATAAACTGAACTAAAAAATTATATTATATTTATATTTATACCMATCTAAATATAGCTTAAGTCGATAAGACAACTATTATAATCTCTAAAGTCAGTGATTCAATCTTTCTATCCTATACTTTTAAAAAAATARTTAGATKAGAGACCACTTCATTAATGAAAAGGTATAATGTGTGGCACATACAATAAAAAAGAGGTTTGTGTTATGGAAATGCRTGCGACCAAATTATGTGTAACTTTGGTCGCATGCATTTCCAACATAAACCATGTGATAGAACGTATAAAAATTTTTTGGGTGAAACCAAAAGTAAAGCCGATTAGATAATCCTTAAATGAATTAAATTTATCCAATTCATCAGCTTAAGCTTTTGGGTTGAGTAGTGATTTATTCATCCTTAACAAAGCCACGAAGACTTATGCCTAAAGTGGACCAAATATCATACGATTATAGAAATGTGGAGGATTACTTGTCTCTAATAGTTACAATTTAGGTACTTATGTTTAAAACTTTCTAAATATACTATGGTGGAATGTGTTAAAATTGATAGATAATAAGCTTAGATGATATATGATACTGGGTGAATCACCATTTGTGAAAAGTTAGAGAACGAATTAGACCATCTATAGAAACGAAAGTCTTAATTTCTACCAACTTCCAAATAAATTTGGAGGAATTAGAAATTTGAAGTCCGGTAAGTTATCAATGGCCAATTTTAACATTCACCCATGGTAAGGATTATAATGGAAAGTTATTATAAAACATATATAAGTAACTAAATTAGAAAACTTTCAGGACAATAAAACCAATTGAAAAAATATCCTAACATCAAGGATTAAAATATATATTTAACTAGCGAAATGAGATATCAACCCATAGTGAGAATGTTAAAGCTGTGTTCTTCGATAAATCAAAAACCAAATGTTCAAGATGTTAGTTAAAGTACGTGCAAGTTGGTTCAAATATTCACGAATATCATTAAGTAAAGCACGAAGTAAAGTTGGAAAGGAAAGAATTGAAGTGAGAATATCAATTTGAATTAAAAACATTGGCTAATTAATGCCTTAAAAAGCAAGACAAACAAGGTAAGATATACAGAGGCTGTGTTGCCTGAATTATATTATTTCTGTCCCGAGTGAGGCTTTTAATGTCTGATTGAGAGAGGATTTTTGGTGGACCAAAATCAAAGAAGATTATTGGAGGCAATATAATAAATAATGTGAGTTAAGGTAATGCATGAGCTGCTACAACTGGCTATGCTGTTGCTGGACAATGAGCTATGTGACCATTTACTGTTGGGTTTTTCACTCTTTTTCTTGAATCCCAACTCGAGCCCATATGGTGGGTTTATGTTTCTTTTTTGGTTTCAGAGAAAAGAGAGGGAATTTGTACATAAGTTTGGAGGTTGGTCTGTACTTCGATTGAGATTTATTTTGGAGCGCTACCATTTAAGTGAAAATTTTCTAATTTCTAGTCTTGTAATATTATGTGACGCTCGAGTAGAGAGAAAGGGTACATGGATGAACCAGTACCACATCCGAATGAGACGGATCATGAGATCATGGAAATATGGTTAATAAAGATTTAAAAGAATTTACTATCTATATCAACAAGACACACCTTCCTTTTCGGTAACTCAATCATAAGAACTCCAAAGTTAAACATGTTTGACTTGGAGCAATCTTCAGGTCACGGTTGACCAACACTGAACTTTGCAGTTGGACTTTGCAATAGCATTTGTGACTTTTGTAATGTGGGTAGGGTAAAATGTAACAGTGACATATTATAGCAGTCTCCATGATATAATTAAGGGATGATAGATGTGGGTGGAGTAAATATAGAAATTTGACCATTTCTAGACAACAAGTGGGCCATTATTAAAGATTATAAAATTTATGGCAATTTTTCATAGATTGTCGTGAATTTGGTCATTACTCATAATTTTCCTTTATAGAATGATTAATTCGGTTAAGCCGATCAAATATTGACTTTGGATCAGACTTTAATATGGGTTTGGACCAGTCTTTGGACTTTAGGTCCAATGAAAAATGATTTGAGTGAGAAATACTATTTTTATAGAAAAAAAATAATAATTCCAACTTTTAAGAAATCTCCCTCTATATTAATTTCATGAATTTAAAATATCTAAGTAACAGAATGTTTTTTTTTCCCTGTCTTCCCTTTAATCTCTAAAGACTGTAAAAATGAAAATGATTACAAACCAAACAACTTTTAAATGTCTGGCCAAATTTAAAGGGTGCATTAATTGAAACCTTCTAAATAATTGTAAGTCACTTTTGCCCCTTATATCATTCTAAACATCCAATTATTTAGAACGAAAAAGAAAAAAAAAAAAAAAAGGTACAAAAAAGTAATAGTAGTGTTTTTGAATGCAACCTTGACTGAATGGATCTACTTTGTGAATATAATTGTGACGTAACCAAAACCCACCAAAAACGTCACTTTTTTGCAGTAAATTAAAAAAAAACATTTTAATTCAAACTTTTAATTATTAAATAAGTGATGGAAAAAATTAACCAAATCTAATTAAAATATATTTTTAGTTTTCTGTTTTTAAAAATTGTGCTTGTTCCTTAACAATTGTAGCCAGACTCCATAAACAAAAAATAATTTTTATTAAAAAATAAATAAATAAACAAAAATAAATTTTCAAAAACAACTTTAGGTAAGATTTCAGAATTTTGACAACATATTTCTGAAAATAAAAAATAAAATAAAGAAACATATAAGTGATATAAGTGAAAATAGTGCATGTAGTAAAAAAAAAATATTGTTTATAAGCTTATGATTATCCCAACCGCTTTTTTTTAGTTAAATAATCCTAACGAGCTCAAAAGTTTATAGATATTCAAGTTTAAAATCAAAATAAAATGGTTAATTTGACCAAGTTTAACAAGCCATTGGATTGCTGTGAAATCTAATTCGTGAGAGGTTATTTACTTTCTGAACCTTTCAGATTCTGAACTTTACAGATATAAATGAATTCATCAAAGTA